GGTTGACGAATGTGAAAGGCAATTTCTGAAGACTTTCTGAAAACAAATGGAAAATATTTCGTTTTGGTTTTTTTTTTAAGGTGGAATATTTAGCACACAAAAAGCCACAAAAGTCTTTTTAATTTAAAAGTAATTTTGAAGAAGGAAAAATTATTATCCAAAAATACCACACAATTAAGATTAGAAAAAAAACTGCTAAAATTAAACTAATGAATGGGTAAAACTTAAAATACTAAAAATAAAATATGAAAAAAAAAAAGATTTAGCAACAGAATTGACAGAAAAGGGTCAAAAAGTAAATTAATAAATTATAATAAACTAATGAATGGGTAAAACTTAAAACACTAAAAATAAAATATGAAAAAAAATTGTACAAAATACAAAAAAAAAAGATTTAGCAACAAAATTGACAGAAAAGGGTCAAAAAATAAATTAATAAATTATTAAAAAAAAAAAATTTAGTTTTTCAATTTAAGCCTATGAAGTTGAGTCTGCCCACGTGGACAGACTCCTGATAACAGTCATGTACAAAAACAGGGGACGGAAATTGTTCGGAACTATCTGCAGCAGAACTTCCTGTTCGGGCTTCCTGTCAGTGTCTTCTGACCAAACACAAACAGAGAGAGAGAGGGAGTTGGGGGGAAAAAAAAAATCCAATTTCAGTGAAGAGCAACATGTTCTTTCTGATAGAATCTATCAGCTGGAGCTGGGGGAGGAGGAGAGGGACGGAGGAGGAGCTGTGGCCACACAGGCAGAACAGCAGGAGCAGCAGTGTGGACACTTATATCTATACACACACACACGCGCGTGCGTCAGCATCACAGTCGCTCACGCACAGATAAGGAAATGTAGCAGCAGTAATGAATAAATATGGAAGAACTCACATTGAGAATATTGTGTGGCCTGTGTCTGATTCTATCTCCGAAATTAAAGGGTTGTTCACTGTTTTAACTGTGGATCTGTCCTTCCCTGTCCTTTAGTCTCACTCGTCTCACCTGGTGCCCTGTCAGGGGTCCCACTCTGTCCCTTAAATGATTTTCAAGGACTTTTCCATAACATTTTCAGCCGCTACAGTTGTCACATCATACACTAATTCCTCTGTCCCTCCCTCAGTCTTTGGAAGTGTTTCTCGCCCACTTCAACTGTCCTCTGCTGCGCTGTCTGTCAGTCAACGGAGGACAGAGAGGAGCCTGTGGCTGCGGGAGAGAAAAAAAACCTCACACTTGCCTACTAATGCTAGCGACACTTTTCAACTTACAGTCGCTAGTGTTGTCTGTAGGCGCTAAGTCCTTAAGAAGGTCTGAAAAGTCGCTAAATATAACGCCACAGGGAGCACCATGATGACAACATTAGAATACAGCAGCTGTTGTTGTTGTTGTTTTTTTTTTATTCTAACTGATCAATAAAGTGACAGACACTAACACAGCGATGGTGAATCAGAGCCTCTTCTCACTGTCTGTCACTTCACTGCTTCATATCTCCCTTCATCTCTCACACACTCACACACACTCAGGACGTGTCTACTTTCACTGGGGCGACGTGACACCGCAGCACTTCTGCAGTCATCCAATACAGCCAGCAGGGTGTTCAGAAACCTTCACTTCTACCAGGTCTTATTGGTCAATTTCTATCTCCCTCCAATCGTGGAGGAACACAAAGACCAGCGTCGACGGTTGAGCGTGACAGATATTAAATCAGGTACCTGCATGGCCTGAGCTTTCTTGTGAAACATTTCCTCCATGTCCTCGGCCAACCTCTTGACCAGCCAGAGTCCATCAATCTCCTCCACCTTCACCGAGCGCTCAAACTCCTTGTATTTCTGGAAGAAAAACAACAAAGTCCAGGACATCATTGATCATTTAGTGACTATAATAAATCACAAATGGAAAAAAAAGAAAAAAGACTTTCTGTTTTGCAGGATGTTTTTGCAGAATTTCCTGACAAATAAAAACTGGCCATTGGTATTTGTTAAAGGTGAAAATACATTTGAAAAATCTTTGTTCCTGTTTGTTCCTCTGCTGTTTGACAGTTTCTTGTGGATTTCCCTGTTTATTCTCCAGTAAGGGAGGCTGCCAGTGAAATTCTGCATCTCTTTTTAATTAGTTACACCATAAGTAGGTCTGCATTTTCTGGCAGAAATCCTCTCCAGCAACCTTACCCCCCAAATATAGTGCCTTTTTAAAAAAATAAATATGTCAAAACTTTTCTGTTTTCCATAAGAACTGGGCTTTGATAGTAGGTAGACGACAAGATCAATGGCGAAACTTAGTTTCTAATTTCCATGTAGATTATAACCAATCAGTCCAAAAGGATAAGATTAGACCAACTTCAGGTTTGAACCACCACAGCAGTGACACCAGTTTACAGAGAATCACATTATTCCAGCTAAAAACCCATGAGATTGGGTTCGGCTTAACTCCCGCTTCAACCGGAGGACGGTGACATTAAGTCTCTATAATTCTACACCCATACATGCAGAATGAACACAAGCGAGAGGTGATTATGGCAAAGGCTACCACTGAAAAAAAAAGATGAAGATGAAGAAGCAGGAGCAGGAAAAAAAAATAATAAAAAATTTAGATTCCGTGCAGAACTGCAGGAGATTTCAGCTTCACTCACAGTGAGGATTTAACAGCAGATTAGAACCATATTAAAAAACAGACAAACAAACAAACAAACAAAAAAAAAAAACCCTCTTATGTCGTGCCAACTCAATGACGCTTCCTGCTCCCGCATGTTGACAAACGGGGAGGAGGAGGAGAGGGATGAAGCAGGAGGAGAGCAGCAGCAGCAGCAGCAGCAGCAGCAGCAAATGTTGGGTGAAACTGCAGGACGTTCCACTTTTTATAACCTCTGCTTCTCAGATGCAGCAGAGAATCCAGTAAGGAGAGAAAACAGAGCCAAACAGTCTGACACTTCACTGACGGACTCCTGGGACGTGAAGGTTTACATAAAACCCTACAGAGAGGAATGAAAATAAACCCAGCAGACAAAAGCAGGCTGACAAGCTCCGCTGGCTTTTTTAATAAACAGCTTTATTAATACGGGCAGAATGTGAACGTGCTCTTAATAACTGCATCAGGAGGGACACACGCACACACAAAGAGGGAGGAGAGGAAGAGAAATGAGCAGCAAATGGAGATGAAGAGCAGCGGAGACGATTAAAAAATACATTAGAGGAGAAAATAAAAGGCATCAATTATTAGCCTTTTAATCATTAAGATGATAAATAAATAACATTTTCAGGATTCCAGGCAGTGCAGTCAGGGAATAAATGTGGTAAAACTGTGAGAAAAACTTGATGTTGTTCTGAAGTAGAGAGTATGTATCGAAGTATTCCGAGATACGTGCAAGACTTCGAGCAAACTTTTGCCTCGAGATACGAGTAAAGACTCGAGATAAGAGCTGACGCTAGGTGGCAAACGATCTCATCATTTGGATATTTTTCTTCTTCCTTCTTTGTTGCTGTCTTTTTCATTTTTGGGTTATAACTGAGTCTTCCTACCTGGTTGCTACCAATTTTGGACTCATTTTTCAAATTTATGCAACATTAATGTTGGAACCTTTTTAAGTTTAATCTTCTGCTAATATTTTATTAACCTTTTGTTGAATTTTTTTTTTTGCTCACTTTTGGCTAATTTATATGCAAATTGAGTTCATCCTGCTTCTTTTTTTATTTTTATGTCTAAGAAAGAGCTTTCAGCCCTGGGGACATGTTTTCCTGGGCCTAATGTTACCATAATGTATGGTCACTTTGATTGGCCACACACTTTGTTATTTCGGGCTGTAGTTAACGGACATAGGGGTCAAGTGCAGGAGAAAATGAGAGAACGTTAGGTCAAAACATACGCTTTGATTTCACACCGAGACTGAATCCTGATCCCTTCAAATCCCTGCTCGTTTCACGCCTCACCACAGTCAGTGTTTACCATGCACCAGCTGAACATTATCTCACAGCTCTTTTAATCCTTCCCACTCAACAAAACTCACCCTACAAAAACCCATGTTCGCACAGTAGTCGCTCAGTTCATCACTTATAATCTGAGGTTCAATGATTTTTATTATCATTAATAACTTGGGTAAAAAGGCATTAATGTCAAGTCATTCAAATTTGAAGAAATTCAAAATATCATGGCCATACACCAATGGTTGCAAATGGAGGCTTGTGGACCAGAATTGGGCTTAGATAAAATACATGTTCTGTTATCCATCCATCCATCTATCTATTAATACATCCATCCATCTATCATCCATCATCCATCCATCCATCCATCCATCCATCATCCATCCATCCATCTAAAACAATATTATCATACTCTGAACAATTTCAAACTAAGAGTTGGTGGACAGCTCCTGGTGCTGAAATGAAACATTCAGTGTGTGTTGCCGATGGTCGGGACGTGGCCGCTCGAGGTAAAAAGATTTAAATTCTTATTATAATTGGTGCCAAGAAAGAATTAAAATTGTAATCAGATTAATCAGAGGGCTGCTGTGGATTCATTTTCAATAATCGTGATTAAATACCACTCATCTTTGATCTACGATAATCTGTTTCATGTTGCATCAGCACAAAGACTGAAGAAACCAACACACCTGTGGATCCGCCACACAACACAAGTCTGTCAACAAACTGTTCAAGGGGTTTGTGACTAACTGTCAACTGTTTGTTGACAAACTGTTCACGACCCCAAAAATCAACATTTGTAATGACGATGAAGGAATAATCCACATAACGCCTCAATCTTCACAGCCCCAGTTGTGATGGAGTTCAAAGACTCCGCACAATCCAGTTCCTGTGAACACATGGAAGCAGGGAGCCGAAATGAAAATCCAAAAATATGTGTTTTTTTATGTATATGTGTGTGTGTTTGAGTTTTTCATTCACAAATAAAAGAGCCGGCCTGTTTGTTTTGTTCGTGTCCGTCTACTTGAGTCTGGAGAATCTGATGAGCAAAACAGATAGGAAACAAAACAGAAAGGCTTCTGTGTGTGTGTGTGTGTGTGTGTGTGTGCGCGCATGTGTGTGTTTTCGCCAATCAATTCCACTCAGCCAACTCTTTGAAGTAGCGACCGAGCTGCTGAAATGATCAGGATCTATTTGGAATAAGAAATGAGACTTTTGAAGCTTAAACCATCCATAATGACAAACGGACCAAGACAACACTGCTGTAGAAGAAGAAGTAAACAGCCACACAGGAAGGAGACAGAGAACATATACATATATATATAAAAATTCTGTTTTTGTATTTTAATATATTATTTCTCCCCCTTAATTTCCTTTAAGAAATCTCAAAATCATAAAAACAAACAAAACATAAAAAAAATATATTTATCTGCAGGGTGATCAGCATTGTTTGTTTATTCTCTTTTTCTATTTTTTTTTTTCTAATTTTTACCACACTTGGCTAAAACTGACACACACTAGCCCAGACGCGGGTAAACCTTTGACTCGCGGGCCACAATTGGTCCTAAAATTGAACATGGGGGCCGGGTCAGGAGCAGATAGATGGGGCGTCCATGTGACTTAAAATAAATGACATTTAAAAGTAATGCATAAAGCTAACATGCTAAAAAGATTTTATCATTTCCTACGCCATCTATTGGGAAAACGTGGGTACTACAGGGAAAATATAAGCAGAAATATAAAGATAATATAAATAAATTATATAATTTGGAAAATTTTCGGGGCCCGGTTAAAAAAGCTGAATGGGCCGCCTCCGGCCCCCTGGCCTTAGTTTGCCCATGTCTGCACTAGAACGAAGCGGCCTGTAGGTGGTAGTAATGCTTCAACTACACATGATCTTAAAAAAAAGGTGAAAGGATAAGATCAAAAGCAGAAAAAAATACTTTAATTTAGCTTTAAAAAATCTCTCATGAAAAATGAACCATATCTAAGGAACTGGAGATATTCTAGTATTTAAGGTTCTGCAGAGAAGTTCCTATGGTGTTGATGCTACGGCACAGTGTCCTCAGCTGAAAATAAGCCTCTCAGATGGGAAAGATGACGGATGGATGGTTCAAGGAGGAAAATAAAGATCAAACCCAGAGGCTTAACACGGCCGAGGTCACTTCTGTTTCCATGTCCACTGTGTCACGGAGCAACAAGTGTGTGTGTGTGTGTGTGTGTGTGTGTGTGTGTGTGTGTGTGTGTGTGGACAGAGGGAATATCTAAGACGGATGACTGAAGCTGCGTCTCAACCTCTCGTGCTATATTCTGACCTGATGAAAACCTCGCCCTAAAGTCAAGCCAGAAAAATCACAGCTGGATCAGAGCATCTTCCAGAAATCTCCACGGTCTCCTCCTCCTCCTCCTCGTCCTCCTCCTCCTCCTTCCTTTCAATCCCTCGCCCAGTAGATTTGGCCGACAAATTGTTCCCTCAAAAGAAAGAACGCTGGACGGAGATGAAGTGGAACAATTAATTTCACGCTTGTCCTCCCTGCCTTAGAAGCATGTTGGTCTGAGGCCTGTGTGTGATGGCAGCACACACACACACACACACGCACACACACACACACACACGTCTTACACACGCTAATGTGAATGCTAATCACAATGAGATAAAAAAAAAATAAGACTTCCTTCAAGCATACCTAATACAGCACTCATAAACTGCTTCCTTTTAACCTGCCACACCTTTATCACCGTTCCGTAAAAACACGACCCACCAGTGGGGGTCACTGTAGTATCCGCTAGTAAACAGCGATGTTTCAGAGTCAGATCGATGCTTTATGCTTTCTTACAGTCACAGACCTATGATTCTGAATAGGAAAATATTACAGATGAATATCCAGAATTGCAGTATCGGTATTGCACATGAA